TGGGGGGGGGGCTGGGGCAGATGCCGCCCTGGTCCCCAGCCAGCCCCCCCTCCCCCTGTGAGGAGGCGGCTGGGGGGAGTGCAAGGTAAGAACTACATACATTAACCTCTCTGCCCTTCTTAGGCTTGTGGTTATACAAGTGTATGTCATCATGCGGCCCTAGCACTGTTCCATATTAACACGAATCAGATGGACATATATAACATGCTTAAACCAGAGGTGTTACTTTACCGTTGTTCCTTTTGTTTCATGGAATCTTTTCCTCCTTAGCTCTTGTCCTACTGTATGCTTTTTCTAAAACTAGAGAAAAATGTTAGTATACTGATACTAGCAGTGATATTGGATCTTGTAATTAAACTCTGAAAGGTAATGCATATGATACCTAAGGGAGCAGTTATGACTGCATCTTTCATTCAACTTTGTCTTTTCTGGACAGTGGAATGTTTTATTTAGTAGCTTCAATGTGCTCTTAATAGGTTTATTTCAGAGTAAAGCTGGAAAATGAAAAAGGAATGAAGTAGCTAGTAAGTTCTTATTTTAAAGGTGATTTGCAGATTTGGATGTGAACATTTTTTATGACATTCACCTCAGAATTTGTGAACTTGCATGTAATTACAGTGGTGCTGCTGCTGCAGGCTCAGCCATTTGAGAGATGTATGAATAAAGAAGGTGCTTAAATGAGTAAGTCTTCTACCCTACCTTGTGTAAGGACCTAGAAAGTCATTATTGCTGCAGAGTAGGGTTCTTGTTATTTGGGATATAGTTTTTGGGAGTGTTAGTTGGGACACTTTCAACTGAGATTTAGAGAGATGTGTAGCTATTTCTCTCTCTAATCTATGGATGTCTGAAATGGTTGCCAGGTGTCACTTCTTCCTGTGTGCCTGTCCCTGTATTAGACTTTGAATTTTAGCAGCCTGACGCTTTCTGGCAATAAGTTGACTTTGAATCTAAAGCAGACTTTGAATGGGATGTTCTTACGTGAATGTGACCGTGCAAGAAATTAAAATACTTGTGTGATAATAAAACTCAATAGTGCTTTAAGATTGCCAGCCCAGCTGGGGCTTTGGGATGTTTTTCACCAGTAGATGTGAAAGAAATTGTGTTTGAGTGGGTGTGTATGATATTTGATAGTGGTGCAATCTAAAAAATGGCAGTTGTTTCCAGGGTGCTTGACAAAGGAGAACTTTAATACGAATATGATTAGAAGATTTGATCAAATTTTTGTAGACTTCTGTAATTATACTTTTCTCTTATAGCTGGTGTTGCACTGCTCTATTAGGTTTTGAGTATTGAATCAAGGAGGAAAAGATTAACAGGATTTAAATGAAAATTTCTCCAGTATAAGTTTAGGTAAAGATTGTTTTGCTTTACAGATTTTCTGTAGCAGCATACATTTGATTAATATATAATGTGTTCTTTTGGGTTATGTGTGAACTTGGAACAATAGCAGCAGAGCTGTTGAGTATACGAAGTGTATAATGGAACAGAAGACATGATAGAGCCTGAATATATTTTTCTGACTCACCTATTTATTCACCATGTATATAATATTACAGTGTTTTTCTTCAGTGCCTTTGAAAAATTTTCTTTAGACATTTAGGCAAATACTCTTTAAGTATAAATTGTTCAGAGATCATAATCTATTTATTAGAGGGGGGAAAACTACTTCAGTTTTCCCACAGTGAATTCATTTGGAAGTGAGATATTTGCTTAATTTTAATTTCTATATGACTAGTTCTGTATGTATCCTTCGAGAGTTTTCAGTTTCAATTCTTCAGGATTATACAATTACACAACATGAATTTAAATTAAAAACAGTTTGAGTACAGTGGTGAATTGAAGGATTGTTTATGTTTACACACCTGTGTAATTCCATTAAACTCATTGGGTTGCTTTCTATGTAGAATTTTTTTCAGCAGAGAGTACAAAACATTTCAAACAAGCTGGATTTTTGGAGTTGGAGTCTCCTTGTCTGTTATTAAGCAAGTTTTGTGTGCAATTATCCATTTGTAGAACATATTCTGTAGAGTAAACATGTCCCTTCAAGGAAATAGTTGTCTGTCTGTCCTCTTCAAATAGCACAAAATCGCTCATCCAACCTTTAGACAGGAGAGGTCTTTAGGGAGTGGTCCATTTAGTCCTTGGCTTTGTTGAAGCAGTATTTAATCACCTGTTGTAATTCAGAAGGAACCTTGTCAAGTGCAGAAAAGTTTGGAAGTGATAATGCATGTAGGTGAATTACAGCTTGTTCATTTAAAGGAGCAGAGGAGTGAGCAAATCCTCCTGAGCCAGGAGTAACTGCTGTAGTTCCAGAGCAAGCAGTTTAGCCACACCAATGTGTTGGTGAATCCAAGCTAGTAAGTTTTGCCTTTGACTTCTTATATCAAATGTGTTAAAGCTGGTACTAGCAGAAATAACTAATTCTCTGTGGACCCAACAAATGCAGTTGTCCTCACGTGCTTCTTCATTGGCTTCTTCACATGGACCAGTAGCCTGGCTTTCTTTTGCCATCGATTTTGATTTATGTTTCTAAAATTGAACCCGAGATTCCTTTTAGTCTTCTGCAAGTGTTACGTGTATGACTGCTCTCAGGCAGCTGAAACATGTATCTGGCCATTGAATTCATTCTTCTTCATCTTCACCACTTCTCTCCTTGCTTTTCAGGCACTCTCTATACAGTGCTTGGGAATGTCTTAAATTCCATCAAATACATAAACCTGCTATTAGCTGATGTTAATTTTGCATCTTGGTTACTCTGACTGTTTCCTTACACGTCTTCCAGTCTTGTTTCACCTTTTACCATGAATCTATGTGGATTGTAGATCTGATTTCTATTTAAGATCTAATCACTTTTCCTGCTATGTGATGCGATTTTGCCTTTTTTCATAGCTTTCTTCGCCTTCTCTTCCTCTTAATACTTCAACATAAATAATAATTTCACTCCTCTGCATCACTTTGTTTTGGCTTTGGAGGTGTGTTTGCTGTTATATTTAATAATATATTTTTTGATCAAGAACGCTTATTTAAATCCTAACAATATTCCCTGATGTCTGGCTGAAGCTTGTGGGTGAAGTGTTCTCATTTATGTAGGCAGAGATGAAAAACGAAAATTAAACAGAAAATCAAGCTGTGAAATGAGGATGGCACATTTTTCAGGCAGGTTGCATGTGAGGAGAATATAGCCCATATAACTAACACATAGCAAGAAAAGGATTATGCAAATAATTTAGAATGCTTACACTGTATGTGTTATTTTTTCACTTTACATGATGTACACTTTTGAATGGTGTCTGACTTCTGAGCCCTACAAAATATGTTGAATGTTCAAAAAAAATCTGCTGGGGCTTCCTTAAGAGTTTAGGAAAACGAATGCAATTCCCATAACTTGTAACTTACTTTAATTCTGTATCAGAATTTTTTGCATGCCCAAGTAATTGCAAATACTATATATATCTCTTTGCCTTTTAGTGCTTTTCCTCTAGAATGTGAGCATTATGGTGAAGAAAAGATACTGCCATCAACAGTATAACTCTGTCATAGGTAAGTGCAGTGTAAATGAACAAAACCAAAGCCTTTTGTATTTCTAAGGTAAATACTTTATAAAATGTGGTACAGGAACTTCAGTATGAAGAAAGTCTAAGTGTTCTCCTTATTTCAGGTTAGCTGCAGATTATTTTATTAGGAAATATAAGAGAACACTTGCGTCTTGGAGAAACAGTGACAGGAATGCTTGTGTAAGTCTTCCTTCTGACATGCAGTGTGTGGAAAAATGTATGGGGCTTCTGATGTTTGTTTAGCAGGAATCTGATAAAAGGAGCTAATTTCAGTTTATATAAAAAAGCATACCCCTAATGTAACTGGAATATCTGTTGCTTCAACAGCAGAAGGAAGGCCATAAGTTACCATATAATAGATTCGTCCATATAATAGATGTGGTTTTGGAAACTGCAATTTATGGTGGTGTTAATATATTTGGTTGTATGCATTGTTGCCTTAAATTTCACTAAAATACTCAAAGCATTATTTGATCATTATGAGAAAATATGTTTGTTTAGGAAGGAATTCAGTAATCAGTTTATTTACTGTTTAATAAAGTATTTTATTGGTTTTTATTAGTTTTTTTTGTTTTGTGATTTGCTCTCAAAATGCTAGTGCCATTTACAAAACTAATCTACTTGATAAATACTGAAGCTTATACTCAAACTTATTGTTATCCCTTGCATCTATTGTAACATTTTTTCTGTTCCTGCATTCTCAGTTTTTAAAATGACATCTGGCAAGCAGCTTGTGGTGGGTGGGTCTGTGTGCAGACATACAAGTTTCGGAAGCAGCGGTTTCTTAAATTGAAAAATGTGTGGTAGGCTATTTCTCCTGGAAGAACTTGCTGCTTTTTAAAAAGGCAGATTCTCACCTATGGTGTTTGGAATTTCATGAAATTGAAAGATGACAGTGTTGCCTTTGTAAGTGCACTGGGTGCCTGTGCCCAGGTGCTGCCAGGGGACTGCAGGGGCCTTTGAGGGGTGAGGGCTGGATGCATTGCAGGGCACAGCTGAGGATGGTGGCACCTCCAGGAAAACTTGTTTAAAAAACAAATTATAAGAAAGGGTGAAAAAAACTGCACAGCAGCTGTGAGAGAGGAGTGAGAACATGCATGGACTGTTGTGCAGGGTGGACTGTTGCGCGGGGCAGACTGTTGCAAAGTTGAGCCAGGGGGAAGGGTGTTTTTAGCTTTCTCAGTGTTTGTCACAATCTTACGCTATTTTAATTAGTGTTAAATTAATCTTGCCAAAGTCAAATCTCTTTTGTGTGTGACCATAATTGGTGAATGAGGTCCCTGTCTTCACTGTGACCCATGAGCTTTTTTTATCTTACTTTCTTCCTGCTGTTACTTTGAGGAGGGGGAGTGAGAGGTCAGCTGGGTGGGCTTCTTGCAAAAGATTGAAAAAAAAAAAAAAAAAAAAGACAAAACCTGATTTTTCATAAATTAGCTCAGTTCTTGGAAGTAATTTAAGTTTAAATTGCTATACCTTCAGTCTCAGTGAAGACTGGAATTAAAAAATACTGGCAATAGTTTCTTTGTCAGGATTCTGTTCCAAATTAGCTTTTAAATTAATAAATTAACTTATATATTTTAAATTGGTTAAAGGAGCATCTGATTTTGTATTTGCGGAAGTATGTAGTGTTTATAATGAGACATTTTCAAATTCTGGGGCTGTGTGTTTATTGAGTAACCAGGAAAAATTCTGTAGTATTAGTATAAACTGACTTGAGAAAGTCTGTTGCCATTAGTGCCTAATAAACTGCTATCTAAAATATTAGACTGTTAAGTTGTAGAAGAAGGTATTTGGATATTTCAAAAATGAAGATTCTAAATGTATTGCAAGTCCTCATCTCTGGTATCTTGATACTGTTAAGGGGTGGGTGTGGTTATTATTTGTTATTTCCCAATTAAAGATCTTTCTGTGATCATAGATGGGTTAAAAAGAGGTATTGTGGAAATTAATTCCTCACTGTCAGAGCTTCAGTGTTAACTGCTAGGCTTCACCTGGACAAGCATGCACACAGAGCAGCTAATGTGCTTTGCATAAATACTAAATAATCTGTCCTCGAGCTCCGAGCTTGGCTTCTCTGGTACTGTTGTATTGCCACATGAGCTGAAGCAGTGCGAGTTGGAAGTTTTTCTGGTGATGATGGACTTTCTTTGGCTCACAACTGCTTTCTTAGAGATCACCACTGTCTCAGTGCTGTGACTGAGTTTCTGGTGCCCTTTGTCCTCACGTTGCCTGCTTGTTATTCAATGCTCCTCACGTATCATGATTGCCTTCTCAGCACCCTCAGAACCCAGCCTGTTATAGCTAAATTTTCTACTCGGCTAGCAAAGCTATGTGCTATGCTCAGGTGATAGTTAAATGGGGAAATCTGAAATAAATGACAAATCTGGAACTGTTTTGTCCTTCTAAAATGAAGTTGTGATGCATTAGAAGAATACAATTTTAAACTCATTTGTTGTGTGATTAGGTATTGTATATGTGTTAACAGGTAAGCTGTGGAAAACTTGCAAGCTGAAAATCCTATTAACTCTGAAATCGGATTTGGATTTCTTCAGCTTTGCCTGCATACTCAGTCCCTTCTGTAATTGTGCTCTGTTGTGGAGCCCATTGGTATCACTGGTATGAACTATTAGTGCCTTTCTAGCCTTTTGCCGTTCAAAGATATGTCTTTCAGCTCTTGGTAGTATGAAGATTTTGGTATGTGGAAAATAGTGCCAAGATGTTTGGCCTTCCATTGCTACTGAAATTACCAAAGCATTGTGCTAGTAACTGTCTATGTTTTGTTACTGCCATCACCAAGGAGTAACATGCTGTGCTTCAGTGTGTTGCTTCTATTTGCTATGAAGCCTGTGTATCAGCACTAAAAATTCTAGTATTATTTACCTTGTTATTTTCCACTGGAGAACTGGTAAGATATGGAACATAAGTCTTTTTTCTTTGGTACTTAAAATATTCATGCATCCTGCTACATCAAATGTACTGACCTTCTTTGTAAGTACTAAACTGTGCCCTTAAAGTCCTACCTCAACGCATTCAGTTTCTAGTTTTCTTATTTCTTCCATAGCTTTTCCAGCACGGTGGGTGAGGAAAAATTACTTACTGTTTCCCCTTGAGTCTGTTCCTATGAGACCTGTGGTTTGGAAAGTGACTTTAGTATATCTAGGTGTGGTACTTTAACCTGCAAGATTGTTATAGCCAAATGTGCTTGTATTTTTCTCTTAAATGCCTCTGTCTATACTGTACCACATCACTGCATTCATAACTCACAGCTGAAGTTCTTTTTGCTTGCATTAAGTAGGTCTACTGGGACTGGAACCTGCATTTGTGTTTTTTCATTGTTCTCAAAGCAAGTCTTTCATTCCCCCTTCCTTAGTAAGGCGATCATGTTTGTTCTCTAAACAAATTTCCATGTGCTTCACTGTTCAGGTGATAGGTTAGTCAGCTGTTGGTCAGTGATTTTTAAATATCACCTGGTTATGACCATGCTGTGAATATCCATGATCAGCAGATGCAGTTATTTGCATGGTTGTTCATATTTTTTAGTATCTTTTCTCTACTGGCTCTTTGATTTCTAAAATGTTGTAATAAACTGTGATGTGAGTAATAATTATACTTGGTGAGAAATGGGTTTAAGAAATGGAAGTCTTCTGTTCAAAGTGTTAAAATAAGCTCCTGATGACTATCTTTAAAATAGGCTGTAGCACATGTGCTACACATCTTAGTTTTTCAAAGGATGTTTTCTTTTACAGCAGTGTATTCCCAACATTGAAGCAAAATAATTTTGAACAGATATTTAACTCTCCCTGAACTTCTGGCTATATAGCAACCAACCATCTTCAGAATTCTGGAATTTTAAACCACTTTTGTCAAACAGAAAACAATACACACTACTCTTATGGGCAAGATAAAAATAAAAGCTTTCTTGGGATTCTGTGTTGCAGCAGTAAGCCAAGATTATGTTTTTGCATTAAATCCATGCCTGGGCAATGATGCTAAATGGTGGGCAAGGGGAGCGGGGAAGCAAATTTACGATGTAATTAAATGGTGCAGGGGAGAATAAATAAATATATATTATTTTCAGACTCTAGGAGTTACTGAAAGAACTGAAGTATGCTTGCCATGAGTTTATAAATTGTGCTTCTCAGAAATTATAGTGCAGGAAAGATAATGGAATAATTCTAAGTTGGAATATCTTTCTATAACTTCTGTAACTGTGTAGCTTGAGCATCTCATTAGATCAACAGATACTACAGGGGAAAAAAACCCCCACAGAAATAAAATGCTTTCTTTTGCAGAGCTGGCTTAAGGTGCAATGAGTGTCTAAATGTTGATTTTAAGTGTGTCTGCCTAGTCAGGAAGTAGTTTTGTTGGGTTTGTTTGGAGTTTTTTTTTTAATAAGTTGTTGCATTAAGCTTTGAGGTTTTTTTAGTTCACTTCAGTCACACCAATATCACTTACTGTTATGTGCTAAAATTGGAGGACTTAACCTTACGGTAGTGCTTTTCATAGAGGATCTGTAAAGCAAATATAATTAGTTATAGCTTAATTGTGTGACTGTTGAAGGGCAAGGTAATTTTGTACAAGAATCTGACTGTATTGAATAATTATGTTTTTCTTTAACAGAATTCCTGTAAATACTAGTAAATACTGCTGGCGTGCATTCTGGAGATACATTTTTGCTACAGATATTACCAAAGCTTTGCGAATGGGATGAACACGCTGCTGTTGACTACTTACTGACAGTAACCAGCTTGGCACTTTACCAGTGATGTTTCCATTCTCGCGTTGTCCAGTTGGAGTTTGCTTATACTGATTCTTAAAAAGAGAAAGAAATCAAAGTGGAGTACCGTAAACTTGGCATGGATACTAAAAAGAAAGACAAGGACAAGCCAGATGAAAGAATGCCACGGCCTAGTGGGAGGTCAGGCCATAATCCACGTGGAACTGGTTCTTCAAATTCTGGAGTGTTAATGGTTGGACCTAACTTCAGAGTTGGCAAAAAAATTGGATGTGGTAATTTTGGAGAACTACGGTTAGGTAAGATCCTTGGGTTTTTATTTCAGTTTATGTTGTTCAATGCCATTGTTTGCAGTCTAGGTGTGAAAATGTCTACATGAACACACCATACAGCTCTTCAAACTACTTTCAAGCTTCAGATAGGTTAAATTTGCATTGCACAACTTTTGTGGCTTGACCCCAGCCAATGAAAGCTCTATCACATATCAAGAATGTCTGTAGCAGGAGAATTTCTGGGGCTAAAAATGTTTCATAATTGTGTGCAGTGCTATCCTAAATTCAGTCAGTTGTCTCTTCCAAGATGCTGGGAATTACTTCCTGGTTATTGTATTTTGCTACCTTTCTTGGCTTCCTGAAGCAGTTTATTCAGATGGATTTGGGGCTAAGTGTATGTGAAACACATGTTTTTGCTGTGGGTTTGGCTTATAGTACTGTGGTCTTGGAGATCTCTTGCAGACAGTGTAGCAGGCACTACAGTGTTTTTAATAGCAGCAAACTTGGATTTCTTGGTTTCCTTTCCACCAGCAGCAGTGTGGTGAGGCTAAACAGTGAGCTGCTGTTAGACAGGGGCAGCGAGAATCCATCTGTAGACAGAATCTGGGAGATAGGTGAATGACCTACTGAACTTAGAAGAATTTGGGCAGCAAATCTGGAAATTTTACTGTTTATTAAAATAGACCCTAAATGATGGGTGTGTGCTTTTGGAAGAGCATATATTTAGTTTTGGGAACTTAAATTGCCATGATGACAGTATCATTAACCAGGGTTTTCAAGATCTGGGGATTCTGTATGTGTTAACAAATGTAACTTGACCCTTAATGGCAAGAATTTATTTTGGTATTCCTGGAAGGCTTGAGTTAATACACTGCTTCAAGGCTTGAAGAGAGCTGGGTTTGAAAGTAGAGTATTTGAGATTAGGGTGGGCTATGTAGGTGTTGTGTTTCTGTTGATCTTTCGCCTCTGGTAAAACTACTACTCATTGTCCTTCAGACAGTGTTTATAATATAGTGCTTGTGTAAAATATAGTATGCTTATGTATGCATGGTTAGAACATGCATAAAATATAACATGTTTTTAATATAGTGCTTTCTGGGGGCCTTATATCTAGTCTGAGTCAGAATGTAAACAAGTTTAACATATTAATACTGTAGAGGGGGAAAGATAACATTGCTGGAGCTCTTGACTGGGGATACGGAGTTTAACATAGTGTCAATAAGAGGTACTCTTGTTGTTTCTATTAATAGTTAAACAAGATTGATAATTTTGGCCTTTACAGTATTATATATGTGCCTCTGCAGTTCACAAGTCAAGCTGAAACTCTTGTCTTCAACTTGTCCTGAACTTTTCTAAACTGGCTTTCAATGATAATTTTTCTTTTAAACTTCTCTATGAACTAAATCAAACCAGTATAATTAATGTCACATTTACTACTGAAGGCAACTGTAAACTAATAAAGTTATTTTTTGCTGTCTGTTACTTTGGAGTGGTCACAATGTACAAAGTTTATTATCTAATTCAGACCAATATCAGATTAACTCATTTGCTTGCAGCAGATACAGAGTGAAAACATCTATTTCATTCTACATACAATATTGAAATAGTTAAGTCTGATTAGTACTGAATTAAAATAGGACAAACAAGTAAAAGAAATAGGAGGAAGATAATAGTGTAGTGTACTGTTCTGCAACAGCCACCAGGACAAGGGCAGGCTTTTCCTTTTCAACATCTGCTTTTTTGCATATATAATAGATATTTTAAATCCTTACTTATTGTTGTTTGTGGGGTAAGATGTTTTAAATGTGTTACTAAAAGCAGGAGTTAAGACTGGTGTTACAGATTCTGATTTATATTTGTTATTTTTGCATTTACATGACTACACTAGCAAGTAACTTAAAGTGGACATCCTTCCTACAAAGTTGTACACAAGCACTTAATTTGTTTTGTGTACTTCTGCAAACACGGATGTATTTTGAGCATGGGTTGAATCTTAAAAGACTAATTCAGTTATAAATCTGTAGTCACTGTAGTTCTTCCACCTGAGAAGAAAAGAATAGCCAGACTTCTGTGGTGGCTTGTGGGTCAAGTGGTAAATTGGCTGTATGTAGCAAATGAGTGTCTGTGATGTGCAACCATTAACTTGTAACAGACTAAATGGTTTTGAATATTGATTAACAAATCTTAAGGCTCTTCTGAGGTACAATTAATATGAACTGATGGGGTAGTAAAAGAAAGCTTGTCGCTACTACATGTGATGCATTATTCAATACCTGTTCTGTGCTTAGAGATAGATCAACAGTGGTGTCAAACCTGTTGTCTTTCATATTTTAAAGAGACAATTGTCTTGAATCACCACATGGGAAGTTATAATGTCCCTTCTGATGTTTCTTCAGAATGGTAAGCCTGTCATTACTGCATTTGGCTACTGGAACCCAATATCCAGTCATTTAACTGTAACTGGATTTGTTAGCTGCTACAGTAGCTGATTTATATATCTGGTAGACTGAATGAGTAGGGCCCCTGCAAGAGTTATTTTTAATGTCTTCTAGGTTGTAATAGCATGCAAAGACATGGAAGCAACTTCAAACAAGTACACTTTTTGTCAGAAATGTAACTCAAATGTTCATAAGATAAGAAATAACTATTTCAGATGCCTAGATTTTCACTCTTGTTCCCGGATAGGTCTTGGAATTATTTTTTGAATTTTGGAATTACCTTTTGGTGGTCAGATTAGGGCATGCTGCCCATACTGATGCTGTGTTTATTATTGTACAACCTTCAAGTAACTTGATATTTTTAAAGCTGATCCCTTAATGGACACGAGATTTTAATAGATCTTTTTTCAGCTTTTCAAGAGTACTCTATTTCTAAAAACGAGGATTAGAGCTGAGATCATAGTCTTTGACTATAAATGTAATTATCTTCACAGGGAACCTTTTTTGTCTTGATCCATGTCTTTTCCCTGTTTGATTTCTTTAACAAAACTGAGCTAAACCTGAAGTTCAGACAGAGAAAAAAGTAGGAATGTCATTAAAAATAATACACACCGAACTCATTTGAAGACTGTAGAGAAACAGAAGGTGTCAGAAGTGACAACTTTTTTCCTTTATCTGTTTTTTAATTTTACACCTATAAAGCTTGTTTAATATTTTAGTCCTTACATACAATTTCAAGTAATGCGTGTTGAAATATACTTACCCAGTTACAGAATCAATTGTAAAGCAGCAGATGCATTTTCCAAATGGTGTAAGCATTTAACTCTAATATTCTTGCCTTGTTTGTCCTAACTTTAAGCTTAGTAAATTACAGAATTGAGGGAAATAAAATAGTCCTAGTTAATTCTGACTGTACTTAGTGTCTTGTGTCCCAAAACCATATGATAATTTTAAAATAAATTTTCAATATTTTCAGCAATTAATACGGAAATGTAGAATATCACGTTTCACTTACAGTAATACACCCATTTTCAAGCTTTTCTAGCATATATAAATTTTGCAAATTTGGTGTAATAGCTGTAACTCTTTCAGAAAAACTGCCACTTCTTATAATATTCAAGAACAAAGTTGTCTTTAAGGTATGGTATCAGCCTAATAAAGCCACATTTTTTTTAAGTCACTGACACAACACCTAGCACCTTAGATCAAAAATGTTTCAAAGACTTTCCTAAGTTTTAAATAACATTTTGCTTGAACATGAGAGTCAATGTCTCACAATTTTGTTTTTGTTCTTTTTTCAAGGAAAAAATTTGTACACAAATGAATATATGGCAATTAAGCTGGTAAGTTATTTTTTTTTTTAAGGATTTGGGATGAGAAGCTAGTCAGAATGTTCTTTTCATATATAACGGTTTGATTTCTTTAACTGAAATCCTTAATAGTCTTGTATGTTTTCAGCTGACTAAATGAAAGCAGTTAGTGATAGATGTAATTACATGCTTGGACAATATTGAATAAAACCAGTGTTAATTGTTGTCACTGTTCTCAGAGATAAACCTATGTGTGTTTGTGAAGTCAATGGTGATTGATTGCTGCTTCAAGGATATGCTCAGCAGTCCTCCTCATAGATTCCTTTTTTCTGCAACAAGTAGAGGAACACCGAATGTAATGTGAATCAGACATCAGGTGACTACAGAGAAGCTCCAGAGATTCTGCAGACTGCCTGTATATGTTATTGTTCTGGTTTTTTTTCCTGAATCTTTCATCAGAACTGCTCAGTTTACCTCATGTTTTGCTTCTGGGTACTTTTAACTTCTTGGTAAATGACTGGTTTTGTAACCAGAGTGTTTCAAGATGAAATTCAGTTGTTTTGCTCTTTGCCATTGAAGGAATTTGAGGACTCCCATTAATTTCTTGTTGCTGCAGTAGGATAGAACATTTTTTGTAGCATACTATGATGAATTTCTGGTTCTGTAAAGTCAAAAAACAGAAATACGAGGCTTTAGATGGAGAATCTAAAAGGCATTACAAATGTAAATAATAAACTCCTGAAAAACATTTGTATCACTATTCTTGCTTAGAAGAATAGTTACTTCAGGAGTAGTTACAGCTTTAAAAACGTGCAAATTGCGGTTTGTAAGAGCAACACTGGATGCAGTTTTGAGGATTAGCGTGTGTGCATTATACCAGATTTAAATTAATTTTGTTTTAAAATATCTTTAACTTATCCTGTATGTCCAGTAAAACGTGAAAACGGTCTGAGAATTCCTCTGGTTAAATGGATCCTAGAGTTTTACTATAAAGCACATTCAGAAGCACTTTGCAAGATAGTGATTATTTTTTTAAGCACAAATTACTCTATTTAGAGCAAGAGAACTTTATAATCTGATCAGTGTTTTTTGATAAAACCATTTTTATTATATATGTAACTTAATAAACTCAGCTACTATTTCAACCCATTTTAACTTTCGAAGATGCTATTCAGTGGCAACTTAGCTTGAAGTGTCATCACTGAATAACTTTGAAGTCACTAAAGAACCACTGTAGTAAAGTATGCCTGTAATTTACTACTAGCACTTAAGGAACTTTGAATATGTAGTTAACTTCTCAAGTTGTCCTCTTACATTCGTGGTATGAAAAGCTATAGTGTCTTTGCAATAAATAACACATGTAAGGAATCATAGTGAAAATCAGCACTGGAACCTGCATCGTCATTGTAAGGTAAAAATACGTTTATTAGCAGGTAGAACTAGTGGGTTCTCTTAATGTTTCTCCTTTTTTTTAATATATCTTTCAGCTCTTCTGAATTTGTTTCCAAACTGGAAGGGATTTGGGTCACAAGGTTCAGTCTCTTAAAAGCGGCTGCATTAAATTGTAGGATTTAATTGAATTTTGCTTTTTTGCTGTTTTTCTTCTTCTACTGGAGACAGTGCCAGAACTTTATGCTAACAGTTAGGTAGGTTGTACTTGCTCATGGTATACCATCCCTTCCCTTTTAAAATGTAAGCCTAACAGTTTTTCCCTATCACTGACACTTACTCTCTTTGTGTTTTGAGAGCAGTCATTGGGCCTATGCTTGGTCTTTGTTTTGTTATCCTAAATGAGGCACTCTTAATTTCCTAGCTGTTTTGTAACTGTTGTAGTTAGCTTTCTGAATGTGATTACTTGAATTATGTGTGTATTCTAGTTAGAGCAGTAACCCTTGGCAGGTACAGTTGTGGTAATATATCTTCTGTAGTATCCTAAAATTGTATTTGTAGGCCTCGGGGTAGCATTCTGTTGTTTTCTTGTGAGCAGTGAGACATCTTCTATGCCAGATGTTTTATAAATGGTAACCATATACTCTAGTGCAGGAGGATTGTGTGGTTTCTCTCAAGAGCATGAGTTATGGTGGCTGCATGTATATAGCAGCTTTCAGGAGTGCTTCTGATGTTAAAAGTAAATGGATTTTATAATCTACTGTTTTGACTTAAACTCTTTATTGTGTTGAATTAATATTTCCCTCATGGACAAAATTATACAAGTATGTTCCTGTTCATAATCACAGAATTGCAGGGGTTGGAAGGGACCTCGGGAGATCATCTAGCCCAACCCCCCTGCTAAAGCAGGTTCTCCTAGAGCGTGTTACACAGGACTTCGTCCAGGCGGGCTTTGAATATCTCCAGAGAAGGAGACTCCACAACCTCCCTGGGCAGCCTGTTCCAGTGCTCTGTCACCCTCAAAGTAAAGAAGTTTTTCCTCACATTCAATTGAAACGTCTTATGTCTCAGTTTGCACCCATTGCCCCTTGTCCTGTCGCTCTGGGCACCACTGCAAAAGTCTGCCTCCATCCTCGTGACATCCACCCTTAAGATATTTGTATGTGTTGATGAGGTCCCCTCTCAGTGTTTTCTTCTTCAGGCTGAACAAGCCCAACTCTCTCAGCCTTTCCTCATAGGAGAGATGCTCCAGTCCCTTTATCATCCTAGTTGCTCTCCTCTGGACTCTTTTTAGGAGTTCCTCATCTTGTGATGAGCAATAACCATTTGGTATACATGAACTGTACCTTTCCTGCTCACCTCTTCATTTATTGTTAGATTTACTACTTTTATTACATGACCCTGTACTTCACTTAAATCTCATATTCCCTATAAAGCTCTTTCCTCTCCTTCATTCTTTTCCCCTTTCCCTTTGACAAATTTCTCCATTGCCCAAATGTATCTCCTCTGCAGAATGCTTAACCACTAACAAAATACCACTAAAGGAATTTCTGCTTGAGCCGCTTCTGGAAATAAGTAAATGTTTCTTTCTGTCTTTGTGTGAAAGACATCAAGTTATGAGGTAGTCACTGCTGCTTTTAATCTGTAATCTTTAATTCATTGATTCATTAATCATTCAACTGTTATGATTTTAATCCTTAAAATTGTAAGTGGGGTGAGTGTGGAAAGAAGATTGCAGTTCTTTCCAAGGCTGGAACATTGTTTCCTCCTTTCTTGTTTGTAAAGAATTATTGCAGTCTAGAATGATACCATTTCGGAACCTCTCTAGAAGGCTGTAGTAAATCCAAATCAAGTGCAGCTCTTCAGTAGACTGATCTTTTCCTGTAACAAGAGCCCCACCTCTAAAAGAACTTTTCCATGAAGATAGCTTTCATTTGCTGTTGCTTAAGGAAATATGAAGCAGAGACAGAAGATATAGTAAGCAGGAGTTCTCACTGGATTACTAAAGCCATGAAAAGTAGGTAGTAGCTGAATGTTTATATTGTGCTTTGGGTTAACATCAGAGTTCTTGAAAATTTCTACCCTTGTGGTTAGAATAAGTAAACTCTTATTTTCTTAAAGCCCTTTAGAAGTGGCACATCTTGAAAATTCTGTAGTAGTTTATTCCATGTATCTGGCACAAAAATAATTGGTGGGAAAAAAATTATGAACTTCAGGCAGACTTCACATTTCAGGTGTCTTTATCCTTTTGTTTGAATGTGTAGGCATCCCACAAAAGAGAAAAAGGAGAGAAAAAACCTTGGTTCAGAAGAACCTTACTGATGAACTAAGGAGCTCTTGTTTCTGCTGCTTAGGTAACTGGCGCTTAGTAAGCTGCACATGAATTTTTTGATGACCCGGAGTCCCTCATTAAGAGAGAGAAGTGCTCTTTTGCAGGCAAAAGAAGCTATCTACATTTTAATATAGAAGCTTTGAAATAATTAGACTTGCATGTGAAAGCAGTGTAGTGAAGGTCATTTACAGAACATTGCAGAAATCCTGGAACAGTTCTTTCAGGATACTTTAGTGATGATCTGGGCTTTTTAAAGTAAACAAAATACACTAATTTCTTTGGGTAAAAGGAGAATTTGACTTCAAAGCCCTTTGGGATTAACATGATGTTTGAACAGTTATGTGTTCCCAAGCTTATTTTTAAGATGCTGAAATGTACTGAAATACTAATGAAAATAGAAAGAACCATGATTTGCCATTTCTTTTTTATTCTTGAATATGCTTTTTAGACTTATTAATAAAAAGAGTTAGTGGTCTATTCTTCACTCTTATGTTATGGTGGAAGGTTACATCTAACATACCTTTGTCTTGATTTAGCCTTATCTGTCCTTTCTCATTTATTAGTAGTTCACTGCATACTGCAAAGTGGAATGTGTAGGAACAAAACAAATTTTACGTGAAGAGCTTATTGTGCTTGCCCTCTCACAAGTTTTTGTTGACCAAAAGTTTGTATTTCCTTTGTATGTTTGGAGTTACTGACCAGTCAGGAAGATACCTAAGCCTCCTTACAAAGATAAGGCAATTCCAGAAAACTGTCAGCCAATAAATGGACTACAAGTACATATTACCACATCTTTTTTGCCATCACTGGAGGGAGTGAAAGTATTTAATTATTTGTTTGCTATACAGGGTTTAGTATATTTGTTTGAGAACAGTTGCCTTATGGAGGCTTATCAGAACTATTTCCTGCTAATGACTGGAACAAGCAGCATTCATTTGAAAAAGTCTAGATGTGTGTGTAGAAAATTGGAAGCTGTTTCTTTTCCCTAGGAGAATTTTTTTTGTCTATTTATGTAAGTTTAATACAGACAAGCTAATTTTTCATCCTTATTATGGGAGCATCTTGTAACACTGAGTGGTGATTAAGTTGTTAATGTACTATCAATTAAGGCAAAACTGTGTAATTGAACAAAATCAAACTGCCCATAAGCCAATGTCTTGTCTTAGTATGTTCAGCAGAGTTTAACGGACTAAAATATTTTCCTTTTAGCAGGTAGTATTGCAGGCTTTAATTAGAGACTATGTAGAGGGTGGTATGTTTTGTAACTAACAGACTCTATTATAGTACTGCAGGCAAACTAGTGGCTAAATTTCTGTGATTTTTCTAAAATGTTAAAATGTTTCATTAACATGCTTCCTGGTGGATTTACTTATACCTCTGAAAGTTGAGCACTAGAGGTTGATAGTTGTGCTGATTTGCTTAGGCCTGTTTGCAGTAAAGTGTCTTGTAAAGGGATGTCTGTCTTTAATACGTCACAATAAATTCCATGTATTCCCCTCATAAACTGTAAGTAGGACCATTTGGTGGCACAGTTAGTCATGCTGAGTAATTCAGTTTGTGAAGGATCAACATATTTTTGTTTTAGAAAGTTCTTGCTCACTTTGCACAGAATTCCAGTGTTCAGCTAGGATGAATGCTTTGGAGCATAAAAAGCATATATTAAATTCAATTTATTTTTTGTAGAAACTGTTACATTGGCCCCTTTTTACTTTCATTCATCAACCTTTGGCATCCTGGCAAAATCAAATACATTAATGTACCCTGACAGGGCTTTTGGCTGTAGCAGTAGCAGCAATTTGAAACATCTGAGTGTTTGAGGGAGATGGGCTGAGGAAGAGGACTAAGTTTCTCATGACTGCACATTGGCTCAGGGTTTTTATGGCCTGGATGTGCCACTGGGAAACAGCATAGGTTAATAAACTGTTAACTTCTGGAGAAGGTGGCGTGAGGAAAGAGATGAGCACCTTGCTCAAACTTTTCCTGAAAACTGACATCCAGCGTATCAGTTACTGCTGATAAGTGTATTAACAATCTTACTAATTACATGCTGCAGTTGTAGTAGAAATAATGCACAGTTAATGTCCAAATTCACTGATGCATTGGAAGATGTTACATATCACAAGAAACTGGACATATCTTCTAAAAGAAGCTCTAGGAAATTACTGTAAGAATCTTCTAATAAAGTACCTTTACTTTGCAAAGGGAAATACTTATGAGTTAGGACTTTCATTTAGGCTGGTTATGTGTTCCTGTGTTTGTTGTCACATCACTTTAATCTATAAGGCTTAGCAGCATTAGTATGTAGAACACAGCAGTAAGATTTTTATTAACTTCTGTAAATTATGTTGGGAAAAGAAAGATTTAAACTACGGAGTTATTCTGGTGCCTTTGTTTTGTATTTATAGTTTAGAATGGTGCTACTTAATTTCTGCTAAGCTGTTAATATTTGGTGGAAGGATTTGTTATTTTTTTGTCAATCTTAGTATAAACATTTTTTTTTTTTTTAATAAAGGCACATCTATCATGTATAGGAGGTGTGTTGACAGTTCTTTTCATCTGTTAAGCTGCATATCAATGCCACCTTTTGAGAGCTGCAAGACACATCACCCGCATGCTTTGGAAAGACAAATTATTTTTTAGCTATTGTGAGTCTGGGATTGGATTTGCATGTTGGACCCCAGTCCCATGGAGCAATACAAGATGCAGACATCTCTATATGCTCTGGTGTCACCTGACTGAGGTTTAGGTTTCTTAATATTAGTCATTTTGGAAGAAACATTAAAACTTTCCATGTGGTTTGGAAGCAGTAGGGTTAGTTTGGCTGGTAGTAGGTTAGCGTATTAGTTTTTAGGCTTTGGCAGAGAGGCTTTGTTTTAAATGTTGTTTTTGTTTTTAAATCAGGAGCCAATGAAGTCGAGAGCACCACAGCTACATTTGGAATACAGATTCTACAAGCAGCTAGGATCTGGAGGTAAAAAGCAGTATCATGCATTTTACTGTGATGTAATCCAGGATCAATTTTTCACAGTAGTTTTCTGATTTAGGGGTATAAATCTATTTGATGAAGTGTCCCTAGTTACTTAAAGCAGAAAAAAGCCCCATGAGATAGTGGATTAATGTGTAAATTTTTCTAGTATTACTTTTTTGTTCTACTCTTTAAAGTGTATGTATGAAATCCTAAGATTAATAAGTCTTAATTTGTGTCCAGATGGGTGTACCTTAAACTAAGAAGTCTTGGAGTATTCTCTGTGTTATCTTTGAATAAACACTGTGAATGACCAAACTGCTAATGTACTAATCGCATTTTTATTTAAAGTTGCTATGATACTTGAATAGCTTCAGTCTCAGTTTTACTTCACTTCCACTGATACAATATATATTGCTGCTTACTAGTTCTAAGCCACTTAAATACTTTTTTGAAGAGTTTGAATGCAGTTTAAGATTTGAATCCTCATTTTACTCCCTTTGGAGCTTTTACACTCAGAAATATTCTTATGATGGTCCCCTCATAAGAGGGAACCTTTTGCTTTTATAGGTGAGCAATATCTAAAACTTCTCACATATTTTTGTGCCTCTCACACAACTGTATGTAGCAAGATGTAAAGCTGCTTAAACTAAGAAAGCGAGTACAAATCTTCCCTAAATCTGTTATACCCTAGGAAAAAATCTTATGATATCTTTTCCTTGCAAATGTACCTTTAATTCTAGAATAGTTTTTTGTAGTCATGTAGCTAGTTACTTTTTCCATTTTTTACTAATGTAGTTTATTGTATAAAATGGACTACTAATAGCTGTTTTCTACATGCACACTTGATTGTTTTTTCTTCTATCAAAGGCAGCGTGGATTTTGTAACAGTGATTTTAAAATTATGCTTAAACTAGAATAAAATACTATTTAAGCTGAAAAGTCATCTCTGAAAGCCAGGGAATACGAAATGAACATGCCTATACCACTTGCATTTTGTTGCATTGAATGTGTGTGTTATGATGAATTTTAATACTTCTAAAATACTACTTTCAGAAATTCAGGATCATATGTTCATTGATACACAGATTGGATAGTGTTTCTCTAGTTGGGTAGCTTTCAGAATTTTGTGCTCTACTTTAAGGACTCTCTCCAGGGAAACACTTTCCAATACTTTAAATTCATACAGAGCTTCTTTTGATGCTGTAGTACGAATGCTCTGCAACCACACGTCTTTAGAGATAACTATTTGCAAGATGTGATGCTGTCTATTCCTGTTCAGAGATGGAAAATTAACTTGTAGAATGTCCAGTCAAGATGCTGAGTCTTACATGCTTGCTAATTGGAGAAAGTCATCAGGGTATAATGTCTGTTTTTTCTAAGTAGTTGTAAATTGTCAGCATACACTACACTAGCATTGTGAATTAGCTGATAAGCGGAAAGCAGAGATCTTAACTGGTTAACTAATGAGACATGGCAGCCTGCACGTTAGGGACAGTACCCAGCTGTGAAAACCAAGGTGTAACTATCTAAAATTGTAAAGTGCTGTGCAGTGGAGGTAAGACTAAAGCTCTAATTACTAGTTCAGACTGCAGAAAATAGGCAATGCTTCTCAGAGGTTGGAACCCTCATGGATTTTATTGGGAAAAATGTCTTGGCAAATATAAGTTTGTTTACCTTTTTGGTTACCAAATAAGATTGGGAGACTGTTTAATGTAAGAACGTAGGCGAGTCAAAGTTAGTCTGCTTTACTTCAGATATAGTTCAGTCTGTAACCCTTTTTGTTGGTTGCAACAACTTTATTGCTTTCTCTGTTGCCTCACTGAAGTATGGGAGGGGAGAATGATCTCTAATTCTTTGCATCAGATTAGCAGACCTTGGGGTGAAAACAAGATAAAGCTGATGAGTTAATAGCCATCTTTAATATTTATTAAGAACCTTGTTATAGATTTCCTCTGATTTTGAAGTAACCTGCTTTTCATCCAAAGTGAAGGCCTCCCCCAGCAGACATAGGACTCTGTAACCTCCTTTTTGAGTCTTGTTTGACTTTCTCAAGCACCACACTTGAGATTAATTTTAATGGGTTTTATGGCAAAAACTCATCATGAAGAAAGTAATATTCATGCTCCCATCTTCTTAGAGAGAAGTTAGAAAAAGAATTGTTGATTCCTTGTCTTTCTGGAGCACTCTTCCCATCTTTTCAGGAGTTAGGCTGTCACGCCCAGGAAGTTACAAGCCCAGAAGATTCTCTAAGATTCTTACAGAAAAAAAGTTGCAGCATTATATAACTTCTGTCTTCATGTAATCTGAGGCAAATGATTTTACTTTACAGATTTTTGTGACATGCATGTTCACTGTCAAGTGTAGATTTAAGAAATGTTATCACATGAACAGTTAGAAAACTTTTTATGGTGGTGGAAAGTGATGGACCAAGTGGTAAGTTTACGAAGCAGCTAATCCTGCATAGAACAGGAGATAGTAAAAATCTTACGCCAGATCTATCCATATAGATAGTGTTGCTTTATGGGCAGTGGTTGTACTTTTGTCAGAGAGTCAATTGAAGGAAGTGTATCTTTGTTGTGCAAGCGGCAGAAGAGTCCGTTGTAGGACGTATAAAAATAGCTTTTATTGCTGGAAGAAATGTGAAGTATAATAATTGTGACCGGATAAATAAGTGCATATATGCTGTACTAACAGTTCCAGTTGTCTGGAGCCTTCTGGCTTCTAAGCTTCTAAAAATCCATGTTTGCAGGCTTTTTTAATCATGGTGAATCATAAGTCTTTTCCTTAGCTGTTTTTGTTTATTCACAGAAAACTTCCTGTAATTTGGCTGATAGCTTTGTACTTGAGCGTGGACTGCTTATTTTGCATTTAATTGTATTAGATATCCTTTGCACTTGTTTTTGTCATGTGTACATGCAATTAATAGCAAGTGACTACTAAAAGATGGTTTCAGGAGCAACTGGTGAAAAGGGGATAGTACTCCCTTTCTTTCCCAGTTTTGTAAGCAGACCCAATATTTCCTAGAATCAAAACTTCATTTTTCACAAGTAAGAGCTGTTAATTCCACATGTTATGCTACAGTCAGTCATGCTTAGTTAGAAATAACCTGAAGCTTAAGGGATAAAATACCTGTAGCCCCTGTGAAATCCCAATTTATTTGGGGGTGGCTTGGGGAGGATGGAGAGGCATTAACATTTGAAAGGTTAGTTCTGGAAGAAAATGAGATTTTCCTGAAAGCAAGTAAAGAAAACATTATTGAGCAACAGATTATCTTACCTTCTAACCATTTTTAACAGAGCATCTTAGTTCTTCCTCTGATCTTGTGAGCGCCCTTGATTGAAGGAGTAGCATTTTGAAATTTTATGTTTTCTTGGTTCAGCCAATATTTGTCTTCTACAAGTCTATTTACTTTTATAATATCCTTTCTCTTTCTTTTCTAATGACCTTGTGACTTAAATTTTTTTACTATTATTAATACTGATTTCTGTGATAAGAGTTTTGCTATTCTGCTTCTTGAATGCCATGAACATGGAAGACATGCTTGAGTAAAAAAGATTTGGGGGATCCTTTATTTTTCTGCTCTCTGAAAGAAAAAGATGATAATAAACATAAAATATGGTAGACGTGCAGTTTTTATACACAATACTTTTGAACTGAGTGTTCATTCTTTGTATTTAATAGAGTACTTTTGACTTGCATGAAAAAGCATTAACAATTCAAAACTCTATTCCTTTGGAGAGAATTTGCTCATAAAGAAGGTTTATAAACTGTACCTTTACTCTCAGATATGCTTTTTACTGAGCATGCCTGTGAATGTGCAGTAGCATGCAGGTTTTTGTCAGGAAGAAAGTGAAGAATCTTAACAGGAAACATTTTATGTACTTTTGGGCTTTTTTTAAAACATTTTTAATTACATGGGGAATGGATCTGAAACTTACTAAAAATAGTTCTTAAATTGGTTTAAAGATGTGGCTGATTTTGGTCACATCATTATTTAGCTTTCATTTAAGTTTTATATACTTAGAGATTTTCATTAAAATTGCTGTTTCTTTTTTTAAAATCTTGTCATTCAGTAACTGTGAACATGCTTTCCTCATGAAGTTTGAGATCATTCAGTCAGTAGGCAGCAATTTCTAGTCAACTGAATGAGTAACCTACAGATGGAATTTAAACTATCTTTAATTCTAATAAAATTTGTTAAAAGTATTTTTTCTTCATATCCTAGCATGAATGATAAGAAAAACTGATACATTATCGAAGCGCAGTACTACAAATAAAGCTATAGCTGAATTCTTACCTTCAATTACACTAAGACTTTTGGAATGAATAGAAAAGTTTTCTTGGTTTTTTTATTGTTATTTTATTAATCTCTGATGCTATCAATCTTTCTCCTCATGGTAAGAAGATGAGCTGTAGATGCGTTTCATGTGCTATGCTGTAATTCAGCTGCACCTAAATTCAGTGTGCTTTCCTACTAGGAGAGACTGAGAGGGTGAAATAATCGGTAACTGCTGGCTTAATCTGAGTATTGAGCAGTAAAGCTGAGAATTTTTTTTAATGTGGGATATTTGCAATTCACAAACATTATCAGTTTAAAATAATTTATTTCTTTGAAGGGGAAGGTGTTTACGATATGGTTCAGTTCCCTTTTGCAATAAGGAGTCTGTGTACATATTGAAGAAGTTACATATTGTTATGTGTTGAAGAGCATAAAAACCATTCAGTTTCCATTGTCTGATTTTTTTTTTTTTCTCTAACATCTCTTAATAAATCTCTGGGTCACTAATCATAATGGCTGGGAGTCTTTACAAGTGAATGAGGACTCTTGTACTTACTGATCTGACAAGTGGAACAAAAGAATGGCAGGTGGCTCCTGCTGCTTAACCTTGCCTTAGCAAGAGCTTGTCTGCAATGCTGCTGTTTTACTAAGAACAGACTGTTACTATAGTACCTGTCTATAGCAACAAGGGGTATCTGTTGTTAGATTTTAGTTTTTCAGTTGA